GTGTGTGTGTGTGTGTGTGTGTGTGTGTGTGTGTGTGTGTGTGTGTGTGTGTGTGTGTGTGTGTGTGTGTGTGTGTGTGTTCTCCAGGTGAGTTTGGAGAAGTGTGCAGCGGCCGTCTGAGAACACCAGGGAAGAAGGAGATTGCCGTGGCGATAAAGACACTAAAGGGAGGCTATGTTGAGCATCAGAGGTGGGACTTCCTGCGTGAGGCATCTATCATGGGCCAGTTTGACCACCCTAACATCATCAGGCTGGAGGGCGTGGTCACAAAAAGTAAGGAGGATTGTGAGAGAGGTTGCTTACTTGAGGCAAATTCAAATCGCTCCAATGTACATGCAGTGTCACCTCTTCAGTACGTTCTTCTAATATAGTCTGAAACATAGTTGGCAGTGATTTATGGAGGAGCCTGTACACAACTGATGCCGCTGATGAAAAACTGTATTTTTAAGCTACGAGATAAATCTTTTCTTCATAACTCGCGTCGCTCCCCCATACTGCTGCTGCTTTGCTGTATTCACTGCCAACACACAAACTCAAACCCAGTCTACTGCTTCTTCTGCACATTCGAGCCTAATGAGTTTGGCGTTTTTCCATGTAGAATTAAAGAAAAGAACATTGCATCATATAAACATTTGAAACTCTGCTGCTATATTTTTATCAAAAAGAAAGAAGACCCCTCCTCCCCAACAGTTTGGCTGTCTGTTGTAGTCTGCGCAAAATCCTGAATTAACATTAAGCATTTTGCTTATAAAGCAATAAAGTTCCACCTTTAGGTTTTTGGTTGTTTTTTTTTCTTTATTTGTTTTTTTGTATGGTTGCTCTAAAAACAATCTTTAGGGCTGGAACAGACTTTTTCATACTGAGTAATTAGTCACCATGTGAAATGACTTTGCTCTGTTTATACGTGGCTCAATGTCACTATTTCTGCTTACTTATTGTGTAAATTTGTGTGTATGTGTGCATTTTGTTTGCAAGTGGCCGGGCCTGCATGGCTGTGTAAGTCTCCTGTTTTTGTGAAGAAACACATTTTTTCTACAAAACTCGTGTGCGTGAGTGTTTGAGTGTGGACTTGTTAACGAGCTCTGTTTTACTGGGCTCACCCTGTGCAACATATGGTTGTTTTTACAGGGGTTGTATAAACTGAGACATCGCTGTGAATATAAATGTGTCCCCTGAAGACTTTCAATCCCTCTGTGAATGCAAATAGAGGACACTCCTCAGCTCTGACCCCCAAGTGATAAAAACCCAGGCGATAAGGGTTTTTTGTTTGTTTGTTTCTAAGCCAATACTGTCATTATTACATTTAAGGGCAATGATGGCTTTTTTTTGCAGCCACGTATTTAAGCGTTTTCATGCACTAACATCTCTGAAGAGAGTGAGTGGAAAAAAGTCCTCCCAACAGCACAGAGCTGACTTGTGCGGTAAGACTCTTAAAAACATTTTCAGTGACTGTGACTGAGAAACCTTTCATCACATCAGAGGTCAACAACTGTGTCTGCCTGCGCTGAATAGACATCTTTTATCAATAGCACCTCTTTCAAAGCCATTGAGATCACTCTCTAGTCATAATATTGCATCTGGTCCATTTGTATGTTTCATATTTTCTTAAGGTTTTAAATAATCTCAACTTTTAAATTTGATATATAAGTATATATCTTATATCTGAATAAACCTGTTTCCATGACTGCGAATTCAAAAGTGAACATATGCATACAGCACCCTATACATTAAAAGTCATTTGTGTTTGCAGTGGGGCATCAGACTGTATGTAGAGGCTGTATGTATCCTATCTGTGTTCACCTGTCTGTCTTTGTCTTTTCTCCCACTCTCTCCATCTTTCACTCCTTCCATCTGTTGTTGTTCTTCGGAGACTAATTATGGAGAGTATTGTGCTGTGACTGACTGCTATACCTGCTCTGAAATAACAGGTGACACATTAGATTCTGGCAAGCAGGTGCGTTTGTTTTTGTTCAGGCGCTGCACTGCATAACTATATATTGTTTCCAGACCTTGCTAATTAGCTCGGGAAAGCCAAGCTTGATCAAATAATTTCTTGTCTATCCCTGCTGGATTTGTGTAAGGAGGGATGATATTTAAAAGTGATAGGCTTTTGCAGATTTAAACAAAAACATGTGCTCATTTGGTCTCAGGTGATAGAGTTCAGCAAAAACAAGGCTTTACTTATCTAGCCATATGCCTGTATATATATATATATATATATACTCCATGTCTTCCATTTTTGTGACTGGATTATACATTATGAAGCTCAACACATATTATTCCTGAATGTGTGTTTATTTTAAGTTGTTTGTCTTGCCGATTTGAATACCACAGTAGACTTTCAGAGATTATTTCATCACACAACACCATTGACAACAGGTGCTCGGTCTTCCAGTGGAAATGCTCCAAGCACATTCTGTTTAACAGAAATGTTCTAAGCCTGCAGCGTTAGCAATTTCTGTTTAAACCAAAGTGGAAGATGCTTCATTAGCAATCCATAGGAACAATGAAATGCTGGTGCTCAAGTGACCATAACTCTCACCATCTGTTATTTTTATAATTATCTCATACTTCAGACAGTTTTGCATACTTCTTTTGGAAAAGTTGCTGTTCAAAGCCGTTATAAAAGTTAACCCAGCATTCATTCACCAAATCAACCTGTCATTTAGCATCTTTAATCTTTTCTTTTGTAAAAAGTGCAAAAGCAATTTACGTTTACAGTCACGTCCTGTGGAAAACTAAGTACACCCTTACAGCTCCCGTGGGAATTAGGAGGATAAGTAGATAAGTAGTAGCCAGATACTACTAATCAAATATTGACCACCATCAAATTCAACTAGATCTATAAAAGCAGATGTTTGGGCAGTTTGCTGGTCTGGAGCATTCAGGTGAGTATTAATACAACGGCATCTTCCCAGTCTTTGAGAGATTACCCCAAGGTCGGATCATGCAATGCTCAGACAAACTTTAAAAAACTCAAGAGCTACATCTCAGAATCTGCGGGCCTCAGTTACCATTTTAAATGTTCATGATTGCTCATGATTGTGCAATAAGAAAAATATTAAAAGTTGGGAAGCTCACAAAAAAAAAACATCCATAGTTCAAATTTACAAAGCTGCATCTGAGCAAACCACTGCTGGAACAGTGTCTTTTAGCTCGACTAGACCAAAGTGGAGATGTTTGGCCATAATGCACAACATCAAGTTTGGCCAAAGTCAAACAGAGCACATCAGCATGAACTACCAAGCACAGTAGTGGAGGAGTGATGGTTTGGACTGGTTCTGCAGTCACATGACCTTGGCCTCTTGCAGTCAATGAGTCCATCATGAACTGTTCAACCAAAGCAACTGAGACTCATATGTACCATCGGCCCGACTGCTAAAGATTGACTGAAGCTGGGTCATGCAACAGGACAATGATCCCAAGTATATTAGAAAATCTACACCGTAATGGCTGAAAAAGAAAAGAATCAAGTTGTTGCAAAGTCAAAGTCCAGGACTCAACTTAACTGAGGTGCTAAGGGGAAACCTTAAAAGAGCTATCCATGAATTCATGTTTGCCAACCGCAGTAAACTGAATCAGTTTTGTAAAAAAAAAAAAAAAAAATGAGTGGGCCAGGCCAAAATTCCTCCGCAGTGATGTGAGGGACTGTTAATGCAATAAAGGAATTATTACAAGCTATTGAATCATGCGGAGTAGTTTTTTCAAAGGACTGCAGAGTCCTGTGAAAACTTTCTGTTTTGACTGAATGATTTTTTCATTTGAAGGAATGATGGTCTAATTACTCCTCTAAACTTTTCACTTTCAGCAGCTGCACATGATACAATACAAGAAACGTGTCTTGGCTCAGTATGCCTTACTAATAATATGTTGTAGTCACTCAAACAATAACAAATATTGTCATTGAGATTATAGCCCAAAGCTGGCAGACTTCCTTATGCTGCCTGTCTTTTTTTTTTTTTAACAATTTAGCTTTTTTCTGTCAAAATCCAGCACAGTTGCACTATCCAGATGCACAAAAACTCAATTATGTCAGTGCCTGTAAACACGCTGCTATATTGTCCAAATTATAGTCCAACTTATAAATGAGAAGTCATTTAAATTCAAATTAGATTTGACATTTAAATAGGTTTAAGTCACATTATTGTGTCAACCTAATCCAACTATTACTGTCTCTACTGAGCTAAAACACTGACCCCAAAACTGAAGTTTTAGGTTTGTCCTTCAGCTTGTTACACACTATTATTCATCAGAACAGATGAAAAAATACATAACAATGTGCATCGTTTTGTAAGCATTTCAAGTATTATATGCATATATCAGAAGTGTCCAAACCTTGTGGTTTGTTCATATATTGCTGTCTCCCTTCTCGTAAAAAAAGATCTATAAATATCCTTGAAACAGAAAAAAAATGTGGAAAACTAGGAATATTGGATAGACATTAAAAGTAAGACGGCAGTCGTCTGTTGAATTATGAAACGGCAAATACTCACCTGAAACTGTGTTGAGAGACCCCATTATATAAATGTCTGTAAAATAGTCCATCTTCCGTCATGTCATTTTCATATTCCTGTGTGAGTTTTAAAAATTACATGAACTGAAAGTGTAATAACATGGTGTCTCTTCACCAATCAAATACTTGTCTTTCTCTTCCAGCAGTTCAGGAGGGTTTACAGCTCACCAGAAAACAGGCCTTAGACAGTTGGTTTCTAGCTGTAAACCAGTCAATCAGTAACTCTGTAGGGATCCTCGGTGGGGAAACAAAAACATTTGGAAAGAGAAACTGGGCTTACATTTTTTTCTAACTAATGTTTCGTGTCATACATGGACTGAATACTGAATACGGTCCCAACTGACCGGCTGGGTATTTTGAAACGGACAGATTTTATCAATTGAGCAGCTTGACTTGATGCATCAATAAACTGCTCATGTTCTGTGAGGTTGTTTTTTTTTAAGTTGTTTTCCCTCATGGATTTCCTGAAATAGTAACTAAATTTAAAATAATTGAAATACTTTGTAATTTTGTCAGCCGCTCTTTATAAGCATAATGCGTTTTCTACATTAATTCAATTATAATGTTTTAGATGATCAGTGGATCATGTAGGATGGCATGAGAGATAGCATGCAATATTCTTCTTTTATCAGAAAATTCATAATTAATCTGTTTAATCTAATTCTTTAACTGCTTTAGACTACTCGCTGTCTTCTCCATAAATAAAAGATCATTCTCATTGTATGTTTAATGCACGCTTCACTTTGAAGTCTGCTTTACAGTCTGGCCGAGTTTAGATGGTTGTTTCAGAACCAAACATAATCAAATTTTATTTCAAAAACATGCAAACTGAACTAATACTACAGACTGAATATACAATTAGTATTTACTGCAAAGAAGGCCGTGTTTACCTTATGAATAGCAAGTAGCTTTGGTAGGAGCAAGCAGCATACTCAGTTTCTCAGGCAGGACTCCTTCACTTCACTTCTTCGACTTAAGAGGCCAACTGGTGACATTTGGGTGGTTAGATCCAGCCTTTATAAACAGCATGTGCTTTGGACCACAGACATTGTGAGTCTCACTCCATTTCTGCCAAGCTCCTTCGATCTTATCCTCCACCCTACACTGTAAACGGGCCACAATGCCACAGAAATATTCTGAAATAAACACGGCGTATGTGCTGTCTTTGTGTGTTTTTGCAGGCAGGCCTGTTATGATCGTGGTGGAGTACATGGAAAATGGATCACTGGACTCGTTTTTGAGAGTAAGTGTTGGAGTGTCGCAGAACTCAGGCATGATTATTTCCTCAGATAGTCTCAAAATCTCTGCTGTACATATTTTTACTGCCTCTGCATGCCTTTGCACTTAAGGCTTTGCGAGATCACTTCTAGTAACATTTGTGACTCATCACTTATATGAATTATGTAATGTATTTACTGTAGCAGACTCTCCTCTCAGTTTGCTGCTCAGCTTAATTCTGAACAAACTAGTTTCTTCTTCTTTTTTGTCAGTAAATTTTCTTTGTCTTGCTCTCTTTATCCATCCTTACCCTCCTTTTTCTGCCTTCTCCTTCTCTGACCCCATACTTTCCTCAATATCCTATTCTTCCTGTTAGCAACATGATGGTCACTTCACCGTCATCCAGTTGGTTGGCATGCTGCGTGGCATCGCTTCGGGCATGAAGTATCTGTCAGATATGGGCTACGTTCACCGAGACCTGGCAGCTCGAAACATTCTGGTCAACAGCAATCTGGTGTGTAAAGTGTCAGACTTTGGCTTGTCCCGAGTCTTGGAGGACGACCCGGAGGCAGCTTACACCACAACGGTACACCTGACACCCTCCAATAACTCAGCCCTCATAAACCAAGCAGCTGCTGCTAATTTATTACAGCTTTTCACAAAGCTGAAATCATTTTGTTCTATGTCACAACTGGGAAAAATGTTACTGTTAGGACCTGCACTGAGGTTGCATCGATCCATTATTTTCCTGGGATTTTAATGTTGAACCATTTTAGGAAACTAAGGCTGTAATGCGTAAAAAGCTTCTGTTTTTTTAAGTTGTTTCTCCATCGTTGCATTTTATCGCCTCAAAAATTGCTAGATGTGAAATATTGACAGGTAAAGCCAAGAGAAATCTAAACAAAAGATGAAAAACAAGGAGCAAATTCAGAGGGGATATCCCTGAAACATGAAGAGATGAGCAGGCAAAGAAAGTAAGCAGGAAGTGTAATCGATTGCAGAACAGACAGACTGACGACTAACAAGGGAGACGCTGAACAATATATACACATGAGGAGCGAATAGGGATCAGGCACGGGTGGACAATAAGTGCAAAGCAGACAATCATAGAGGCAGGAAAACAAAGGAAACAAAACCAAAGAGGCACATAGAAAGTGATTACCAAAATAAAACAGAGACACTGAAAACACAAGGAGAGACAAAGGAAACACAGGGGATAGTGAGGAAAGGTAATGAGAAGTTAGTGAGGAGATCTGAGCCTCGACAATAGCTACAGCAGCACAGTAATATCCATGATAAAAGTTTACCCTCACTCCAGTCTTATTCACAGCCAGCTGGTGTAAATCTGGCTTTGGTAGCGAATCTCATTAGAAGCAGAGACTGAAAGTTTTAAACCGCAAAAGGCACGGAAGTCCAACCTAGCAGTTGTTCCCTAGCTGTTAGGTTGGACTAGTATGGCAGTATCAAAAAAGAAAAACGGATTTCCAAAGTAGCTTCTACACGTACTCTGAAAACTTTGCATCTCCAGAAACCTAGTTTTCAAAAACACATCAATACTGAAGCGAGGAGACGAGAGTCTTGTGGATCTTTTTTCTTTCAGCACCTGTTGCTTCTTATCATTGTTTCACTCAAACAAATCCCCAGATGTCAGTGTGGAAAAGTAAAATCAAAATCAAAAATGAAATATGACACTAAAAGTTTTGAATTTTCAATTAAACGGTTCTATTTACCGTGTATGCTGATGCTATCTGTATAAGAAACCCGATGCATTGCTCCAACTAGATTAGGCTGATTTAATTTAGATTTTCCTGCTTTACCGGCCGAGGCAAGCAAAAGATGGACTAGCCTTGAATTGCAAAAGTGAAACTTTCAGTGCTCATGTGCTAAATCTGTCTGAGCCCACAGTGACCTCCATTTCCTGGTTTGTATTGAGGTTTTTGTGTGAGGG